TATATATATATATATATATATTTTATCTTGATATTGTATATTATTAAATCGTTTAAATTAATAAAAATAAATGTTTTATGAATATTGCAATTTTATTTATTATTAGAGGGCGAAAATTAATCTGATAAAGTAATTCTCGTCATGGTGAAGTGCATGGTGTAATAAGCAAATAAAAAATTTCTACAGATATGCAACAGATGAATAAATTTCGTTCCAGTATATCGCTATTATGAAGAAAAGTGTACTTGGATCCAAATTTGATTGGTTATTTCCAGTATGCTCTCCTCATCATGCGCAATCAGTGCAATGCGTCAGCTGTCTTATTACACCATGATGAAATTGATTACAATGTTTATAAAACTTTTTTTGTTTTTTGGCATTTAACATGTATCAAAACACAGAGATAATCCACAAATCTAGCATAGCTTCCATGCACATAAATTATATTCTGTAATATTTCTATTTTTGTAAATGTACGGATATTATTGCTTTTCTTATTGTTCGGATAAAAATTGGAGCTGTGTTATTATTGTCCATTATGCATTATTATTATTATTGTTTATAAAACTAACACGGAAAACATTAAGCAGTTACGAAATCTAAACATTATTTAATTTCTGATGCACTCCTTTATTATCTACACGTCTCATTATACCAGATGTGATGATCACATGCAACACTGTTACACAGTAGTGTTACACAGTAGTCAGAAAAGACTAATAAATGCAGCCTACGTTTCTTTAAATACTAAGCCGTCCACTTCTGTATGACAGTGAAATAAGAAATACAAATAGTCAAGGATAAGAACCTGTACTTAACTTAGCTAATTCAAGAGAACTTCATGATACAAGGATATTATGTCATATAATCATCTATTTAATTAATTCCATTATATAATTAAAAATACGAATAATAACAAAACATTTTTAATTTTTTATTTTATATTTTATCGTCAAGAACATAATTAGCTAATTTTTATTTAAATATATAAGTTTCATTAGATAAATTTACTCATTATTCTCCTGTATAGAGAAAATACACAAAATAATTACTACATGATAGTCACTAGCTAAATCTGTACAATACACTTAAATTGAAAAATTAATGTAATAGGAAAATGTAATAACTATATATAAATTAATGTAATAACTATGTAAATTAAAATTTATGTAGTTTTATAATATTTAATTCTATTAAGTATATAAATTAAAATTTACATACACTTATTATTATTCTTTGTATAAAAATGCAAGCATGTTGGAGAAAGATTATTTTATTGAGTTCTTATTATTTTCTTTAATTATCTGCAATAATATATAATTAGATAAATGTAGTAATGAATACTGTCACAATATTTTCAAGATACTTGCGTATCTCGAATATTACTCGAATATTTCAAATATTTGCCAGATTATTTTAATAATATATGTATAATAATATGTATTCGGTCATATTTGTGATTCTGTGTGAATGAATTTTTAACATAAATACAGTGATTAGTACTAATTATAATTATTAGATTTTTTTGTTAGTACTAGATATTACACCGTAAATACAAATGAGTCACATTGTGTTGTACTTGAAAGTAAAATGAAAACGTGATTGTCATTCAGTGAGGAGATTCTAGGACTGTGCGAGGTGGGGCACTTAATGAGAAAGGACTAAAGCTCAGGCACCATTCATAGTTATCCAGTGAGAGATAATTGCTGATCCATATATCGGCCTTCGCATTCAATGTACTGACATATTGGCATATACTGGCCGTACGTTTATGTCACACTGGATTCTCGTCACAGTGGATTCTCGTCGAGAGTGGCATCGTTCCTTCGGCATCTGCATTTTTTCCTCTTACTTCCTCCCGCGTCCTTAGACAAACTCGTTTCTAATCGACAAGACATCTGTTTCAAGGGTAGCTACTTCGCGCATTCATGATCTGAATTTTCATTGTAATTAGATGAAACGTGAGGTATGATGCGATCAGATTTGCAATTCTCATTTCTGCGATCACCGATCGCCGATTACCTGCATTGTGAAGGTGTAAGGTCACAAGATCACGGAAGTCTATTTGCTCGGAGATCTAAGGAAGTTAGCTCTTCTTAAATTTAAAGTATTTCTTAATGTTACTATCTTATCAACTACAAATAAATTTTGTTTTTTAATGTTATATCAATACTCAATAGTTCTCTTTATTAAATAAATATCAATAACGTAAATTTCGAAAG